GAAGTCCCCGTTGGCTTCCACCACGAGCGCAACCAAAATGCAACCGCCCTCGTCTCCGACGCCGACCATGTCAATGGCGCCGCTCCCCAGTATGACTTGCCCTCGCCCACCAAAGCCGCCGCCGCCGCAATGGCCGCGCCGCTCACCCCGACCACCCCGACCGCCAATGGCCACGCCCCAGTCAGCGACGAGGATGCCAAATGGGCGCGCGTCGGCTGGGCCCCGCGATTCGGCATGCCCGGCTCAGAGGACCCCGCCGGCGACGACGACGAGGGCACGCTGGCCGACCACCAGACCTGGCTCGAGAGCCGGATCGAGGACAAGTTCTTTGGCGACTGGTACCACAACACGGGCATCATCCTCTTTGCCTGTCTGAGCTCGTGGGTCGTGGGCATCCTCGGCGGCGGCCTCGGCTGGATCTTCATCTTCATGGCCGTCTGCGGCACCTACTATCGCACCTCGATTCGCCGTGTGCGCCGCAATGCCCGCGACGACCTCAACCGCGAAATGGCCAAGCACAAGCTCGAGACGGACACGGAGAGCCTCGAGTGGATCAACAGCTTCCTCGTCAAGTTTTGGCCGATTTACGCTCCCGTGCTCTGCGACACCATTGTCGGCACCGTCGACCAGGTCCTCTCCACCTCCACCCCGGCCTTTCTCGACAGCTTGAAGATGAAGACGTTTGTCCTGGGCACCAAGCCCCCGCGTCTCGAGCACGTCAAGACGTACCCAAAGACCCAGGACGACATTGTGCTCATGGACTGGAAGTTCAGCTTCACGCCAAACGACACGGCCGACCTGACGGCCCGCCAGATCAAGAACAAGATCAACCCCAAGATTGTGCTGGAAATCCGCGTGGGAAAAGGCATGGTCAGCAAGGGCCTCGACGTCATTGTCGAGGACATGGCCTTCTCCGGTCTGATGCGCCTCAGGTTCAAGCTCCAGCTGCCCTTTCCGCACATTGAAAAGGTCGAAATGTCCTTTTTGGAGCGACCGACGATTGATTACGTTTGCAAACCGTTGGGCGGTGAGACGTTTGGATTCGACATCAACTTCATCCCTGGCCTGGAGACGTTCATCATGGAGCAGATTCACGCCAACCTTGGACCCATGATGTACGATCCCAATGTGTTCCCCATTGAGATTGCCAAGATGCTCGCAGGCAACCCCGTCGATCAGGCCATTGGTGTCCTGCAGGTCCACTTCCACGGAGCCCAAGGGCTTAAGAACCCCGACAAGTTCTCGGGCACCCCGGATCCGTACGCGACCGTCTCCATCAACAATCGCAATGTATTGGCCAAGACGCAGACGGTGCATGAAAACGCCAATCCACGCTGGAACGAGACGGTCAACATCATCATCACTTCCCTTACGGACTCGCTGACGATCAACATCTTCGACTACAATGACATTCGCAAGGACAAGGAGCTCGGCACGGCCACGTTTGCGCTCGACCAGCTCGAACAGGAGACTGACCATGAGAATCTGCATCTCGAGATCATGTCTGGTGGTCGGCCACGTGGCATCCTTTCGGCCGATGTACGCTTCTTCCCGGTCCTAGAGGGCACCAAGCTCGAAGACGGGACCCAGGAACCCGCTCCAGAGTCACGTACGGGCATCTGCAAATTCACAGTCGAACAGGCCAAGGACATGGATGGTAGCAAGAGTATGATTGGCCAACTCAACCCATACGCAGTCCTGTTGCTCAACGGACGTGAGATTCACAAGTCGCGAGTGATGAAGCGAACGAATCAGCCCATTTGGCCAGACGCTACCAAGGAACTGCTCATCACTGATCGCAAGAAGGCGAAGCTGGGCCTGGTCATCAAAGATGATCGCGATCTCGCCGCCGATGTCATCCTAGGAACGTACCAGATTGGCATCGATGACCTGCTCGAGCTGGGCGCAAAGGGTCACGAATGGTTCAATCTTGCCGGCACACAGAGTGGTCGCGCCAAGATGAAGTTGGAGTGGAAGCCCGTTGCGCTCAAGGGTGGACTGGCTTCTGGAGGCTACTTGACGCCCATTGGCGTGATGAGGCTGCACTTTCAGAGCGCCCGTGATCTCCGCAATTTGGAGAAGCTGGGCAAATCCGACCCCTATGTCCGTGTACTCCTCTCGGGTATCGAGAAGGGCCGGACGGTCACGTTCAAGAACAATCTTGACCCCGAATGGGATGAGGTGGTGTACGTACCAGTGCACACCGCACGGGAGAAGTTGACGCTGGAGGTCATGGACGAGGAGAATCTGGGCCGAGACCGATCGCTAGGGCATATTGAGATTCTGGTGGGTGACTACCTGCGTCAAGAGGACAATGGCGAGTACGCGGTACATGAGCAGAAGCAGCCGACGGCGGGTGCACTGCGCATGGCAGGCCAAGCGCAGCCAAAGGGTACCCTAAACTACACCTGCTCCTTCTATCCCACCTACGCGACATGGGATCCGGACGAGGACGAGGAGGAAGCCGAAACGGTCGGCACGCCGAATGGCATCTCTAGAACAGCTTCCGTCCGGACTGCTGGGTCCAAGACTAGTCATCAACGGGTTGCGTCTGGTGGATCCGTCATGGATCGATCACAGACGGCCGGCACCATTTCGTCCATGAAGTCTGGCGAAGGGGATCTCGCCAAGCAACTGCAAGCGAATGAATTGCAACAGGTTGAATCGATACCGGAGAAGAAGCCGGTTGAGAAGCTGAAGCTTACTGCCGACGATCTTCAGCACTATGGTAGGCTATGCCGCGAGGAGAGGGATGTCGGATATCATGGCTTTTTGAGTTGGTTCCAACCTCGATTCAGAGCCTCGTATCCCTTGCCTTGGCCTATGTAGTCTGTACTTGACGCTAACTTTTCGTCCAGAATCCGGCCTGCTTGTTTTCAAGCTGATTGACGGCGAGTTTTCGAGGACGGGCGGCTACGTCGATATCCTTATGGATGATATGGCATATGCCAGCTACTCGAGTGCAAAGATCAAGAGCAACCACACGACGTTTAATGAAGGTGAGGCCTATACCACAATGCGGCTCTTTTAGTGAATGATGCTGACACCATCAAAGTGGGCGACACCATGATTCGCGAATTGGACTTTTCCAAGATCACCCTTCGTATCATCGAGCACATCGACAAGGACGGAGATGGCGATGAGGATCATGTCATTGCCAAACTTACAGGGAACACGATTGATACGCTGCGCAGATGTCTAGTAAGCCGCTCTCGCGATGAAGTGTTGGTCTGATGATGTATGCTGATTACTTTCTAGTACACTCCAACGCAACTGGTCTTGAAGGACAAGAGCGGACGTGAGAACAAGATTACCGTGAGCCTCAAGTACATCCCGGTCAAGATGCGTCTCGATCCCAGCGAGTCCTTCAACAATCAGGGTACTCTCCGTGTAGATGTTCTGGATGCAGCAGACCTACCAGCTGCCGACCGGAATGGGTATTCTGACCCATACTGCAAATTCGTCCTCAACGACAAGGAAGTCTACAAGACGAAGACGCAAAAGAAGACCCTCCATCCTGCGTGGAACGAGTACTTTGAGGTACCGGTCCGCAGCCGGACCGCGGCCGAGTTTGTCGTCAATGTATACGACTGGGACTTTGGCGACAAGGCAGACTTCCTGGGCAAGTCGGCTATCAATCTGGAGATTCTCGAACCCTTTCAACAACAAGAGGTTACCCTGCATCTTGACGGCAAGTCTGGGGCAATCCGCCTCCGCATGTTGTTCAAGCCAGACTACGTGGTTCGATCTCGGCAGGGATCGAGTACCTTTTCCGGCACATTTGCCGTGCCCGGAAAGGTTATTGGTGCACCCGTCAAGGGCGTAGGAAAGGGTGCCGCCTTCGTTGGGGGCAATGTTGTGCGCGCAGGCACCTTCCTCGGCCGTGGATTCAAGCGTAGAAAGTCGCGCGGTGCTGCGGGAGAGGAGGATGTTGAGCGTCCCGACTCGTCACCACGGCCATCGGCTGACACGCCCATGATCTCGGTAGAAGGCGATGGGAACGACAATGGCACAGCCAGTAAAGAGAGCCCATTGAACCACCACCGGCACCGCAGCTGGGGCGCGCAAAGCTTCCACAGCCGCCTTGGCGATGGCACCCCAGGTGGTGGCGAGCCAGGCACAGCGACCCTCTCCGTCGTGAGCGCAGACGGGTTCCCCGTCAACACCAACCTGCGCGTGCACATTCAGCTCGGCAAGAAGGAAATCTACAAGACCAACCACATCAAGACGGCCTCTGGCAGCGTCACCTACGACGACGAAACCTTTAGAGTCCCCTGCACCGCCGACGCCTTCTTCAAACTCGTCGTCAAGGACCACAGCAAATTCGGCCGCGACGACGAGCTCGGCGAGGCCCAGTTTACGATTTCCGACCAGGGCGCCGGGAGCGAGCAGAATGTGGGCGTCGGCAAGGGCATGGTTGTCCTGCGCAGCAGCTTTCAGCCCGCCGATGATGCCGCTAGCCAGGGCGGCAGCGCGAGTCCCCGGCCTGGGGGATCGCGCAGGGGCTTGTTGAGTCGGGGTCGGGATTCGCGCGAGAAGAGCGTGACGCCTGCTTAGCGGGCTAGGCGGTTCATGGATCGGAGTGCGGTGTCGCTGGATGAGGGGGCTGTGCGGGCGCCGACGGGGACGGGGATGAGGATGATGGGGATGGAGGGGGAGGATCGGTCGCGGGGATCTTTTGGGCGGGAGATTGGGGGGTGAATTATTAAGGGGGGGGGGTTTTGTCCTTTTTATCCTTTTTTTTTTCATTTCTTCTTCTTCTTCTTCTTCTTCTTCTTCTTCTAATTCCCCCTTTTTTGGTTCTTTATTTCATCTTCTATTCATCCTTCTTGTTCTTTTCCTCTTCTTGTCTCGTCTTGTTTGGTGTGGTCTGCTCTGCTGTTTTTCTCAACCTCTTTTTTTTTTGGGCCCACGATTTCGTGGGGGCGGAGTGGGTTCTCTGCTGGTTCCTTTGTGGATGGATTCTCGGATTGGGAATCGGGAAGATGGAAATGGGATTGCGAATGGGATTGGGATTGGGGAATGGGGCATTGGGATGGAAGTATTGTATGTTCGTCGATGCATAGAGGCGTAGAGTAGAGTCTGTAGTTGGATTTTTTTTGGCCAAATAACTGTTTGGTCAAGTTGGTCTTAGACCTGTCTGAAACTACGTGGCTGAGGGGGGGTTTTTTGTGTTGTAGTGGAGGGATTTGAGCTTTTTTTTTTCTTCTTCTTTTTTTTTTGGCTAGGGTTTGGGTTTTGGCATGGTTTTGGACTTGGACTTGGTATTTGTCCAGTCTCTAGAACGGCGGCGTGACTGGGTGTTTGGGATTTCTGTGTTACCAAACGCGGTTGGGCGGTGGGTTTGGTATGTTGGTGTAGTGTATTTGATTGGTCTGGGTGGTTAGTAGGTAGTCTAGGTAGTGTATTGGTGAAAACCATACAGTCCATCTACTTCTTCTTCTTCTTTTGTTCACACGATACCCCACCCTACTCCACTCCACACCACTCCACACCACCCCCCTAGCACCAAAGAAAAAGTAGGATCGTACTGATGGCGACAAAGCAAAACTTGAGCAATACAAACACTTCCACACTAACCCCCCACCCTTTTTTTTTGTAAAAAAAACAAAAGCACACAAATTAGCAGGGTACATCCACTGGCATAGGGCAGTCTCTTGCGTGCGAGAAGTTTAAAGCCTTGGCCTTGGCATGGCTGCGCGGGCAAGAGATTGTTTGCTGTCGTGCTCAGTTCTTGATGTCCTACTTTTCCTCTGGCGCAAGGGACCAGCTTATCCTAACCTACGCTACGTTCACGGTGGATGTGGACGGCGTTGGGGGCCTTGCATGAGATGGTTGTGTGCCGTTGTGTGTTGTACTCGTGTCTCGGGATTCGCATCTTGAACGCTGTTCACACGGTACTGCCATGCTACTTGCTACGGTACTGCTACTGCTACTGCTACTGCTACTGCCATACTGGCATACCACCTGGACCAGGCCAGCGCACGTCGACGACGCTGTGGTGTGCGGTGCGGCGTGGCGCTATAACATACCATTGCGGTGGTGTTTCAGCTGCGGCTGTGGTGGTAGTGCTAGTTACACAATACTCTACTCGAACCCACGCACTTCCCCATGGGGCCAGGGGTCTGGGCCCGGGGTCGGAATCTAGACAAAGCCATGGCGTTAACCGATACGGTACTCTTGTAGTACATCAACCCATGTAGCTGAATCACGCATGTCTGAGCTCTCTATCCACGACATGTATGAGCTCTCTACCCATACAAGTCCCTCCAGGTAATTAGCCACTTAATCTGCATTCCTTTGTTTACAGCCGCCACTGCATTCTCACGTCCCATTGCTCTAGACCTAGGACTCGGCGTCTAGATCTAAATCGCCCATGTGTTACAGTTGACGTATTCTGCAATTTATTATTCATCCATACAGACATGCATACCGGTACCTTGGGGCCACCAGTCTCGCTTATCGCTGGGGCGTTGTACCTCATGAACCGCTTTCCTCGCTTTCCTCGCTTTCCTCGCATTCGCCGCTCAGAAGGTGATTTGGGGGCGGCATCATGCTGGTCCATGAGAAACGGAGAGTCGTGCGCGGGAGGCAGGACGAGCATAAAAGGGATCAAGATGCTGCGATTGGGAAAGGAGCCAGACATTGGCTTTGAGTGAGCGGTTTGCGAGATTCATCTACCGGTACGACACGTTACGGACTTGAGGGTTTTGGAACTTGTTTTGGAGTAAACGAGAGAAGGGAAATTTTTATTAAATCGTTTCATCCATCTGTCTATCCATCCATCCATCCATCCATCCATCCATCCATTCATCGTCTTGTCGGGGAAAAACTACCCAACATGCACTTCACACACCTCACCACCCTCCTCCTCGCCACTATCAGCATCACCACCACCGCAACCGCCATCCCCAACCCCGCCCCAGCGGCTGTCCCCGACGCCAACCCCGACCCCGCCCTCGACCCGCGCGCCACCCAACTCCGCTGGGACGCCGTGCGCGACAAGAAAACCTGCCGTAGCGACTGGTCCGGGGTGTGCTACGAGCACTGTGTGACGGAGGGGACGAGCACGGCGCGCCGGTGCCAGCGGAATACAATTACGAGTGCGATTGATGGGAGTGGGTGTGGGTTGTTTAAGAGTCGGTGCAAGTGTACTTGTGTTAGGCCGTAGGGGGTCGGGGTTGTGGGAGAGGAGAAGGGGGAGAGGGGGAGGGGAAAAAGGAGGACGGGTATTGAAGAGGGGATTGAGATTGAAGAGAATCAGGATGGCAGGGACAGCGAGAGTGAACAGAAAAAGTAAGGAACAAGAGGGAGATTGAGCTAAATTGTACTCCTTACCAAATCCATCACATATACATGTGCAATAAGCAGTACCAAAGTCTCTGCCCTTGCAAACCCCACATTTCAAAATTCGACTGCCCAGATTGCCCTTGCCTTGCTTCAGCTCTAGCATTATCGTCATCAATGGACTGTATGTGTCATGGTGGATGTTCTGAATGAGACTTGAGATTGCACGCTGTTCACGGTGATGGCCAACCGGGGGCAGATAGAGGACCGATGCATGGAGTTTGGGGGAGGGGAGAGAACGTAAATGCGTGCTGTTTGTGTAGATCTTCTAAGTGTAAAGTCGCCCGTGTCACTTGCTTAGGTTATCAACATAATCTTCATATGATAATCACTTGCCCAGAGTACAATCTTATCCGTGATAATTGATTTGATTCGACATTTCTTAGACTCAATTCTCCTGTGACATCTTCAGCCCACAACACCAGCGGTTTCAATATCGATTGACAAGATCGCAGTGAGACCATGCTCCCTGCCTCGGCGTGAGCGGACAGCAGACGATCTCTTGTAAACCCAGGAGATTGCAATCCGGTCTCAAGCAGATAGACCCATGGTCACCGCGTACTGAGCATTGTGATACATTTCCATAATGTACAGATGTGTGAAGTCAGTGACGGGTAGCGGCCAGTAGCGTGTGGCGATGTGGCGACAAATTTCCAACTCAAGGCTTCCCCGGATTGCTTGAGGCTCCCACGCCAGGACGCTGGTGACGATGAAGTCGCCTATAGGTAGTAGTCGTCCCTTAAGGATCTGGGCGTGACTCTTGGTTCGTACTCGTGGGTTGTAAGGCGGTAAGCTCGTTGGTGTCGTACTCTCCAGCCTTTCTAGAAGCGCACGGATTGGGGCAAGTAAAAGGTCGGGGCTTCGCTGTTCTGGTCTATTGTGAGAGTTTGTCGAATCTGTAAGCTGCTTAGGTGAAGGCTTAGATGGCTGAGCCGGTGACTTCAGGGTTGATTGTGAATCAGCGTGAGACTGTTTGTAGTCTGATTCTGCGATAGCCGTGGGTCCTGGGGGCGTGTCATCGCCATACTGCATGCGCGCACAATCCTCTCCAGCAAGCAGTGGTACCGCAGCTTCCTCGTCCAACGTGGGCGCACGAGGGCCAAACCCGAATCTGAAGCTGTGGTCCCACATATCGGCGATGAATCTGTACAAGCGAAGGTAGCAACTGCGAAAAGGTTGGTATTGAGGAGAGATCAGCTGTTGAAGAAATGGGGGCAGTTTCGGACGGGCCATGATCTGGGAGTGCAACCAGGTGCAGGTAAAGCTGAAGCACAGCATGGGCCAAAAAGGCAATCACACTGTTTCTTCGGAGTGGAGTCAGGGCGTTTGCTTTACCGGCTCTCCCTCCAGCCCATGGGTATGAGCGCAGCAGCAACTTGGTCCACGCCTCGCTCCGTGGCCAACAGGTTGAATTGTGCAGCAGCGTTGCGTGTGTCCTGGATTTCCAAGCGGATACCAAGACCATTGAGGTGGGAGCGGACGGCGGGCGCAATGGGCGTGACGCTGGGGCCTGTTCCGATGATGAGGAGATCTGCGGCCGTCAGTCATAAGCCATCAGTCGCCGTTCACAATAGTCGTGACTGTGACCTTAATTGCCGCAGTGACAGTGGCATTGAGAGTGACAAAGGCATAACAGGCTACATACCTGGCTTCGGATACACCAGCTCCAACACACCCCACGCGCTCTCAGGCACCTCCCACTGGGATTTGCTGTTCAACAGCCGGCCCTTGAGTGCATCTCCTTCTGACTCTGCCTGGCCCTTTTGAAGCCACGGCCGCCAGCGAAAGGCTTCCCCGCCCAGGAGAAACAGACCACAGCCACTAACACGCATCTGATTGTTCAGTGCAAAGCCTTCGGGCGTGCATGCGTCAATGGACGTGGCAGGCGCAACGGTGTTGCGGAGGACATCGAGGGCACTGAAGTCGGTCTGCGTATCTTCGTTGCTCTTGGGCCCACGGTCGCGCGTCTGTGGTGGCCGTGACTGCAACCCATTGGGGCGTGTGAGGTGTAGGAGACGGCAGCCGGTCGTGCGCGCCATCACGGGAGTTTGACGCTGTCCTAGACCTCTGGCCAGGGAACGAATGCAAGCTAGTAACTGGCGGCGCTCCATTGTGGATGATGAGATAATGGGGCTATCCGACTGTCCATGGGATGCACAATGTGAGAAAGTTGGTTTCTTCATCATTCGGCTGCCAGTGCCAGTTGATGCCGTCATGACGCTTGGACCCTGGCTGACGTTAACTTTGCCTCGACGTCTCAGGACACAGATCTCCTGCCCACTACGACAAGCAACCAAGAAGGTGTAGTTGAAGAATACCAATCGTGATAAGAACACGAAGAGATGATGCAATTCTAAAATATGAATAGTGATAAGCCTGTGTCACTTGTGCGAGCACACCAATGGAACCCTCAACTTCACAAATTGCCTTGGCAGAAGTAATCACTTACCTCATCTTCCATGCAACGAAAGAGCTGAATGACATCTTTTGAACGGACTGAAAAAGGGTTTCCAGCATACCATGAGATGGATGTGCACTGTAATTTGCGTCCCACGAATCTCAGATGGCCACCGCATGACAATTGCTCAATGTCCTCCACATCAAAAGGCACAGACAGTAACCACTCCATTGGGGATTCTGGGGGTTTGCAAGTGAAGGGTGATTGGGCAGATGGGTGTATCTGTGTATAATGATGGCTGGGTGCAAAGGAGTAAACCAAGTTTTGTTGTGGACGAGAGCTGAAGTACAGTGTCGTGGCCTGGATTGTGAATTACATGGTTTTCCGAGTAGCAATCGAAACCAACATAATCGTATTAGCATATTATATCAACAAAAGTGTCGCGAACATCTTACTCTATTACTCCTCCCCACTCCCATCTTCCGCAACAACACTTCCCTCCTTCCTCCTCCCCTCTTCATCACGGAAAGAACTTACAACCTCCCTCGGCACCCCGTACGCCCCCAACTCCCTCCTCACAGCCTCCTTACTCTGCTTCCCAAGATGCCTCCTCGCACCTTCCCACAAAAGCTCACTCTTCGCATCCTCCTCCTCCCTGTACTCGTGCAGTACCGTCCCCCAGCGTCCTCTGTCCTGCTCCATGTTCCAAAACGCCACCCCAGTCCGCATATAAATAAGACCCACGTCTGAACCGCCTACAAACTCTGATAAAAACTCTTCGAATTCAATGTCCATGGCTTCCCGCATGATGCGAATACTGCGCATCCCCCAGAATGCGGCTTCGTCAAAGCGAGAGAGGGCGAGGTAGCATACGATGGTACGCGCGACGAGGCGGAGTCGCAGCATGACGCGCACTGTCATACCAGTTTGGCCGGAGTACCGGCCCGTGGTGATGAGCTGGTGAAAGAAGACGTCGGCGAGGACGCGGCGGGTACGGCCGTTGATGATAATATGTATAGCCTTGAAGGCTTGAACATACACTTCCAGTGCTTGCTCGGGCTGGTTGGCTTTGAGGATCGCATCGCCTTTCACTAGGAGATCGGTGGCCTGGTCAAGGTATTCGACGAGTGTGGGAAGTGGGACGGCCATACGTCGTCGGAGTTCTGCCTCGACGGATGGGTCGTAGCCGCGGATTTCTAGGCTATAAAGTCCCTTGATGTGTTCGAATGGGAGAAGAAGACGGCGTTGGAGAGATAGGGGTATGTTTGGCTTCTCTTCTCCCGGATTATACGGGTCTTGCAAGATGAATGTAGTAGCCAGACGGTCGTTCATCATCGGGTAACTGAGTGCGCTATAGAACCAGATTTGGCTGAACAGATGTACGTCATCGACTAATATTACGGCCATGTGCTCGGGCATGGTTTGGTGGAAAGGCGCTGTGATCTGTACGAGTGCGTGTTCGTTTTCAAACAGGTCTGCTTTCTCATCTGTGCAGACAATCGGTACCAGGCCCTCTGCAGATATGTGATTTACTATACCTCGGAATCAAAACGTCAGCTTCCCATCTGTTTCACAGTGCTTCAACTCAGACTCAGAGCGGCCTTGCCTTTTCCCAAAAATTGAGGTCCGGATCCTGGACGATCAACGCTCGACAGGGTGCATGTACATACCAGCACTAGGCCATGGCAACCCAATCTTCATGAAGACATTCTCCCTTCTCCACACACGTCTAGCTTCTTCATACACCTGCTTATTCGCTCTCCAAAGCGCAAAGTCAAATTCGTATACGCCGCCGAAGAGCCCCTGCGCATCAAGAATATGGTTGCGAACAAGGCGATCGGCGGGCTTGTGGTAGAGCGAGTATATCTGCTCGCGGAGTTCGAGTGGGAGAGTGAAAAAGGGGGATTGCTTCGTGGGTGGCTCAGGCGCGCTCATGGTCAAGTCTCTGGCGGGACAGAATCATATGCAGGAGGCGCACAGGCTATGTGGTATGTATGTAGGTGGAAGATGCGCTGACGTCGCGATGCCTTCTCCCCGACTAAGTATGAATTGGCGGATTTTACGCTATTTAACGCCGATTGCCGAGTCGAGGCTAGTTAGGAGCGAGACGCGTGAGCAATTCACGTACCATTGCGCAAGTTTTGGGCTCAAACAGGGAGACGGAGCTTTTGCGCTCATATATGGTGATTTTGAAATATTGTACATGGATTCATGACACATGCATGCTATTCTAGCATATCCCGGCGAACCAGCCCTCTTGTCCCGAGCACCTTGACGACCAATTGATAGGAGTGGAAAGTACAATGCTTTTCTTTTGGTGGACTGCAGGCTCTGTCGCATTACCTCGCTGATCCTGACGAGATTCCAGTGCTGTTTGCAGCTGCAGCCTCTGTTGCTGAAGCTGCGGAAGGAACCGTCGCCGTCTGAGGCGCGGCGCCACCCAGCCATCCGAATGCGCCAGCCTTCATGTCCTTCAGCTGCGCATCCTGCATCTTCTTCTCTTCTTCTGCCATCTCCTTGAGCCATTGGTCTCCATTCTCTCTGATCTGCTTGTCGAGGTGCTCGAAGTTTTGCCTGTTGAAGTCGCGGTACATGTCGATCATCATTTTGCCCTCGGACATGCCTTGGGAAATGTTCTGGTCACCGAGCACCATGCCTGGCTTCTGTGCGTCGAGACCCAAGCTCTTCATGAACATGCCACCAGCGCTCTTGCTCGACTTCTTCTTTTGCTCGGCCAGGTCCCGCTGGAACTGTTCGCGCAGCTTGGCTTCGCGACGGGCATATTCCACTGGGATGTCTTTGCCTTGCATGGATTTCAAGACTTGTCGTACATCGATGGGTTGGCCGGTCTGTGACATCATGGCGAGGTACTCGAGGAAGGGGATCAAAGCCACGAGGCCCTTGTCACCGGGTTCGCCCTTCCATTTGGGCAGTATGATTGCATTCTCGGGCTGCAGCTTGACATGGGATGGGTCGGTGTCGATCATGATGACTTTGGAGAGGTCGCGGTTGAGGTACGAGAGGTCCTACAAAGGTCAGTAAGAGAATAGTCTCACGCGAGGGCGGGAGCTGTCTGGCCTACCTTGATGTACTCGCCCTTTTCGAAGCGGGTTGCCTCGCGGAACAAGGGCCACATGACTAGCCGGAAAGGATCGAGTTTGCGGATGATGGGGTCGCCGTCCATGGACTTGACCGTGGTGAAGATGACGAGCTCGTACTGTGAGCTGAGGTAGCGCAGGAAGTAGTCGAGACCAGGGCGCTTTGCCAGGCGGTAGCCGTGTTTGGTGCTCCATTCCGAATGCAGCAGCAAGTCCTCGAGACTCAAAACAAGTGTCAGCTCAGGTGCGCCTCCGGGTATCTTGTCCTTGTCGGGCAGCAGCTTCTGAAAGGTCGGCTCGGTGTAGTAGGCCTTTTGTCCGTTGATGCGGGCTACAGCGCGGGCGTACATGCGACCTAGCGACCAGCCATTGGGTGCGTCTGCGTGGGCCAGTTCCTCTTCCTCCGTCTCCCAATTGCGGCCCATGAAGACAGCGCCCGTGGTTCCAAAGAGCAGAATGGCGAGATAGCCCAGATTGGCGACGCGGTTCCGCCGCCTGTCGGTGCTGGTCTCGTATGCAGACTTGGGTAGCTCGCCGCCGCCGCCGACGCCTCCCCGACCACTTGAAGCGCCCTCGGCAGACTGCTGCTTATCGGGAAGCTCGTTGGCTTCGCGAGCATCTCGTTTTGCGTTTGCTTCGGCGTCGGCGAACTCGGCGGCGAAGGTTGAGGGAATGCCCTGTCGTAGGTCTGGCAGCGGCTTCTGCGCCTGTGGGGGTGCTTCGTCGGTGGTGTGGGCGGCCGTGTTGTCGCTAGGTGACTTGGGTCCAGAGAACTCATCTTGCTCACTGGCCCTGTCCACCTTGCTATCGTTGCCCGCACCTGTCGAGGCTTGTGTGGCGCTCCCTGTTGGGCGCGTCGTCGTGGGCTGTATGGGTGTTGTGTTGCGCGCTGGTGTGGCTGCTGCATCGAACTCGGGCTGCTCTGACGGGTGGACGGGCAGTGGGTTCTCCTTGTTTGATTCTTCGAATTTGATCGGCTCTGTTGGCTTCCAGGTATTGTCCTTGGGCGGCGGACTGCTCTTTTTGGCGTAGCTGCGTACAGCATGCCATTGTGATGTCCTCGTCGTCGTCGTCGCCGAGACAATGCGCGTCGTGTGCGGCCTCGAGGCCAGCAGCGCCGGGCGAGTGCGCAGGGCGCGGCAAGCTGACCGTGGGAGCATTGTGGTGTATGTGTGGGTGTGCGGGTGTTATGGCAGATTACAAGTTACTATGTATGCAAAACAAATATGAACCAGAAACAGGGCCACGTCCTCTCCTATGGTACAGCTTGGGCGACACAAGACCAGTATGTGGCGGCGGCGGCTCTCTGCGTCGAACTGGTCTTCTGGAGAAAGGCGGGACTTGGCTGGAACAATTCATGGCAGAGAAATCCAGAGGCAACGGGTCCCACCAGTCCTCGGGCGAATTATGACGCGGGATGATCACGTGACTCGTACACTCACTTTCTGGTGCTGCCATCTGTCCTGTCCACCACAGCAGCACAGCCGTCCCCACTCGACACACCGCGCTTTCGCCGACGTCTACATGGAATCCTGGACCCGTATTTGATTACTTATCTGGCTCTGTCCTTCCACTTCTAAAAGCGAGCTCCCAGTCCCATGTCTTCGCTTACGTACCTCGATGGGCATGCGATTGACAGCACGGCCTCGATGGCGACATGCGCCCGGCGGACTGCTCCTGCGGCTCACAGCATGCCTCGTGCTATGTATGTGCTTGTGGGCGACACCAGGTCGTGGCATGACCGATGAGACCATCGCGGCCCTCCGCCAAGAGACACGCGACATCTTCTACCATGGCTACGACAATTACATGAAGCATGCTTTTCCCGAAGACGAACTACGCCCCTTGAGTTGCACGCCGCTCACACGCGACCGCCAGAACCCAGCCCATATTGAAGTCAACGATGTGCTAGGCAACTATTCCTTGACCCTCATCGACAGTCTGTCTACGCTGGCCATCTTGGCCTCATCCCCACCGCCGTCAAGCAATGGACGAAACAAGGCGTTGAATGATTTCCAGGACGCCATTGCAGACCTGGTGGATCACTATGGAAATGGAACTCCAGGACCCGACGGTCAGGGCATCCGAGCACGGGGCTTTGATCTGGACAGCAAGGTGCAGGTGTTTGAGACAGTCATCCGCGGTGTGGGAGGACTGCTGAGCGCACATCAGTTTGCTGTAGGCGATCTGCCTATTCGTGGTTACAATGCCACTCCAGGAAAGAGCAAGGGAACCGACGGCATAGTCTGGGACAACGGTTTTGTCTACAACGGCCAATTGTTGCGGCTGGCTACCGACCTTGCCAACCGACTGATGCCAGCCTTCAACACCCCCACTGGCTTGCCATATCCTCGCGTCAACCTGCGTCATGGAGTGCCCTTCTATGCAAATAGTCCACACAACATGGACGCTGAGCACGGTCAGTGCAGTAAGGATCCCAACGATAAGAGTACCGAAATCACAGAGACGTGCAGTGCTGGTGCGGGAAGTTTGGTGTTGGAATTCTCAACGCTAAGTCGATTAACTGGCAATCCGCGATACGAGCAGGCAGCCAAGAAGGCCTTCTGGGCCGTGTGGGAACGTCGAAGCAACATTGGACTCATCGGAGCAGGCATCGATGCTGAAACGGGCCAATGGGTATCATCTCACACTGGCATTGGGGCTGGAATCGATAGCTTCTTCGAGTATGCCCTCAAGTCGCACATCTTGCTCTCCGGTCTACCTTACGACCCTGCAACCGCAGATATCGATTCTTCAGATGCATTCCTACTTGCATGGGAAGAGGCGCATGAAGGCATTCGGCGGCAAATCTACCGTGGATCCCAACACCAACATCCTCACTATGCTCAAGTCGATCTCCACACTGGAGCTATCCGGGCTTTTTGGATCGACAGCCTCAGTGCATTCTACCAGGGTCTACTTGCCATGGCTGGGAAGCTTGACGAGGCCATTGAAACCCACCTTCTCTACACTGCCCTATGGACCCGCTACTCTGCCATGCCGGAACGATGGTCAACTGCTACAGGGGACATTGAGCATGGACTGCGATGGTGGGGGGGTCGACCGGAGTGGATCGAGTCCACATGGTACTTGTATCAAGCTACCAAAGATCCGTGGTATCTGCATGCTGGCGAGATGGCCTTGCGGGATATCAAGAGACGCTGCTGGACCAAATGCGGATGGGCTGGACTTCAAGATGTCCGCACTGGTGAGCTGAGCGACCGCATGGAGAGCTTCTTCCTCGGCGAGACTGCAAAATATCTCTACTTGCTCTTCGACCCATCGCATCCTTTGAACACATGGGACGCGCCCTTTGTCTTCACCACCGAAGGTCATCCTCTAATTATACCAAAGCGTGTGCGCCCATCATCTCGCATACGTCGAAAGCGGTCGTCACCCGGACGGCAATTTGCTCAAGACATATGTCCTCTTCCACCAGCTCATCTGCCATTTACCATCTCTGCGACAGCAGCCCGAGCCGATATCTTCCATGCTGCAAGTCTAGCGAAATTGCACTTGATGCCAACAATTCAGACGACAGACTCCCCATTAGTCGAGTTCACTGCCGATCACCCCAGTATCTCGTTGTCAGATGTTCGTTCACCTTCCAATTACACGTACTATCCCTGGACATTGCCGCTCGAGCTTATTCCTCATAATGCTACAAGCTCGCCAATGACTCTGCGAACTACCTTTGATCTCTCATTCCCAAGCATGCCCAATAGCATGCAGATAGGCGCACTGCAAAGGATACAAGATGGTATATTGGTAAAGTCCATGAGCGGGCTACGTCTCGGCATGGTTCGTGAGCAAGACAAGAGATCCGATACGGGGCAATATATTGATCTGGATGAACACTTCCGTGTATATGCCATTTCTAACATCGCCCTAGGTCGTGATGAGAAGATTTTCATGTCGCGTGCCACCATGGATAACTTTAATCCGCTAGATCCTTTCTTTACTCGAACAAGAGACGCCAACGTCCTGGAGCTAGTCATTGATGTCCCACCAGACGCCCCGGGCACGTCACGCGCTCTGTCAGACCTCCTTCAAGATGCGCTTGGTGAGTCTGGCAACCTGTCGAACCCCCCGGCGAGAATAGAGATTGATCCAGAAGCGCTAGAGAACGAACCGTCATACCTATCGAATCTACTATCGTCACTCCAGGCTCTGTTAGCTGCGCCAGCGCCGACGTTGTCACCATTGCCTTTTGATCTACTTACTGCATCCCCACAGACCACTCTCCGCCAGAGTATTCCAGGTGCACTTCCATTAGGGCCTGGCGCAGCACCACTCCCCGACACCCCAGATCCCAAGGCTACTTACACGGAGGATGACAGTCTAGCTTGGTCAAGCATTTACATCCATTCGAGCACGCTCTGTGACGAGAAACTGCCCATTGATATTCCGCGGGCCTATCAAGTCATTGTCATTCCACGCGGCGGATGCTCCTTCTCCACGAAACTGCGCAATATAGCAGCCTATCCACCAGCCAGCACATCTTTGCAAGTAGTAGTCATTGTCAGCTACCCTGAGCACGAAGAATCGCCCGATGGCAATGCCAACGATGGGGCAGGTCAGTCACGGGGTAGTGCACACGTCGTGCAGCCACTTCTCGATGAGGCGCAATTCACGCCTTCTGGCCTACCGCGACCGAACCCGATTCCACTCGTTATGGTGAATGGTGGGGAAGAAACCATGGCATTGCTCAGACGCGCAAAGGGCGTGGGTGTCAGGCGGAAGTATTATTTTCGCAGCCAGGGGATGAAGATTGATAATTTGATTGTGTTGTAGCTTCAACACTACTGCCGTTGACATGTGTTGGTCACGCGATTTGTATATAGAAAACCTCATATCGTCGACGAATTCAAGGTACTACTAACCTAGCTTGGAGTTGATTCGCGTTTGGCATTTTATCTGGAAATAACAATCAAGTGTTCCATCACACTTGTTGCCGCATGTGATGATGATGTCATGTTCTCGATCTCTCCCATTGCCTATTTGCGATCTCAGGATAGTGTCTTGCATCACCATGAGGCTGAAGGAATATTCTATCGTTTACCGCATCTTGGGGCGAATTTTGCAGCTAGAATGGATTCACCATCATTGTATCCTATTCCCACACAGATGCATTAATTGGAAGTGCGTTTTGCTAGGTTTGAGGGCTGAGTTTTATGTGGTGTGTATATATGTATGTGAGGCCAGGTAACTATAGAGGAGTTCAATACATGATTCGGCATATCTCTTGTGCCTATAATGAACCGCGATTATAACCAATTGTAACAATCAACCCATGATGAATGATTGTAATCCTTGAATACCCACTCAGCCATGTTTGTCAACCAGCATATGCCCTCTAGATTGAAAGGGATCACACATGCAATATTACTTATCAAAACTTTGATTGGCTGCTGTAACATGCAGTCTCAGGTGATCTAAGCACAGCGATTGGGGATTGTAGTGGAATAACATGTTGTGGGGCGAGAGGGAGAAAATGAGTGGTGTGTAATCCACGCGTGAAAGAATAGACATTGGAGAGGATCGATACGAGGAAATTGCATATCATTGTCAAATTCTTGTGGATTGAGTATTGACCATTATAAAGAAATATTTCTTGTAGGGAATCCGTTTCAATCCCATGGTCATCAAGTACTAGAAATTACGGACCGTGGCGGCCGTTACCGAGAACGCGACAAGCACAATCGGCTTGTTAAGAAGAAGAAAGGCAAGAATCGCTAAATCAATGGAGAAGGTATCGACCAAGACAATCAATCACGTAAAACCCTATACCCCTTATGAACCCTCCTCCAACTCCACACCCAACACCCAATCACACGTCGTCCTTATCATATCCTTCGCCTCCTCCTCCGTCATAGAATTCGTATCCAAACCGCCATTCCACTTGATACCCACGAGTTTCCCCGCGCCCTCGCCCTTAACATCCATGACGACGAAGAGCTCCGCAACTTTGATGCCCGTCCAACTCCTATGGAAATGGACTTTGAGTTTGCCGGCGGGGTCGGGGCCTTCGCTGTATATGAACCACTTGTCTGACATGGAACGTGGTAGAAAGCCGAGGTAGAGGGCGAAGACTTGGGAAGGCGGGAGGAAGATATTCCAGGGGCGGATGAGGGGTGTGCCGGGGAAGGGGCTGGTGGGTAAGGCGGTCGAGAGGACGCGTTGTGAGGGTTGAATGGGCGTGTGGTGGTAGTCCGGTTTCGGGCTGTGGTGGGAGTCGTTTCGTCGGGGAGCTGAGGGTCGGAGAGGGAGTTGGACTTGTTGGATGTGTGTGACTGATTTTGATTGCTTGTGCTGCTGCTTCTGTGTCTCGACGTTTGTGATTATGAAGGAGTTTGGTGAATCAGGTGGGGTCGGGAGACCAGTTTGGGCGACGGCAGAGCGTCGCTGCAGCTTTCTGGGTGGAGGGGAGTGCATGGTGGGAGACGGCAGTGGAGGAGCATGACAGTCACCTGATTCTCGTCGTGAGAATCGGCGGAAGATTGACTTCTTTCTGGACAGCGGGATTGGTGTCTCGAATGTCGACATGATGGCCACGCGATCTTGTTTTGTATCGTGTGTTCGTGAATCCGTGTGTGAGTTGACGATGCTGGGGAATTGGAGGCCTGAATTTGGAAAAGAAGGGGGGAAGAGAATGCGTCAACTTTGGGAGATGGACAGGTGAAAAGGAAATGGCGAAACAAAGAGGGCACGTAATTACAGTGGGGAAGCCCTGCAGGACATTCGTACAACCTTCTATGGTACCTGTGTATGTATCTCAGCCGCACCCATTTCGGTGTAAGGCGGGCTGAGTATGGCTTTATTTTAAGCTCGTATCCATACCTACTGACCCTACCCGCGAGGCTTGGCCCAAGTGCCATCGCGCAGTCGCGGCATGGAACCCCTCATCTGATGACGGCACCGTCTCTGTGACAGTCTTCCTCTCGTGGTAGGATGCAAAGACGGCCAAACGCTTGGTGGTTGCTTAACGCGCAGGCACGGCAATCGTCATGGGTTGATGTTGCACCCAACTGACGTGGGGCTGCGGTGAAATGGCAGAATCAGGCAGATGATATGCGGCCCTGGTCAACGTCATCCAACGGACCCAAATCTCGTCCTCTTACGTAGGCGCGGGAAGCGCACGGTCAATGAATCTCACCAAGGGGGAGGGGGGAGCGCATGGTCTGCGCTGACTACTCCCATATCATTCCGTCTTTGTTTGCTTACCATTTCAAGGTCGCAGTACTGGGTAAATACGAGACCCCCTGCATCTTTCATCTTTGCTATTCTTGTCTCTGCTCTTGGTCCAACAGACACATCATAGGTTTGTCCGCCTCACATGGTAAAATCTCCAGTAGGTACAAAGACAGTTCACCGTCGCAAGCACCAACCAACACCACAGCGCAACACCCGACGATCGCTGAGCCACGCAGGACGGGTTGCTCTCATTCCGATGAAGAACACTCTTCCAGCGCCATGGCGCTATTGATTGGTGACTAGGGAGTCGCACGATTGGACGATGGTTCCATGCCCTCGGGCTATTCATCTTAGTCTTGGGCTATCGTGATGCAGGCACTCTGCCGACATCTGCTAGCTTACCAACAACGCCTCTAGCTACAGGTACTGTTAGAGAACATACCATGATTAGCCTGTGAGATGCGTTGCCAAGATGCTGTACCGTCACCTTGTGCATGTTGCATTCATGGATCTGATCGTCTGATCTGCGACGTACGGTTTCGTCATCCCGCTCTTACAATCTGCGAGCACCGAAAACTTTTCCCACCAAGTCAAATCATATTACTGAAATCTGGCCGAAATCTACACATTACAAAGCTACGTCTCGCTTTCTACTAATAATTGATCATCGTAACGTACTATGGTAGAAAAACACCGAACTTTTCAGTAGTCACCCTTGGAGACTCTAAATGCTACCAGAACAAGCCTTAAATACCGCCAATTTCCTCTTTCACATACAAAAACCCTGTTCCAGCTAGCAAGCCCATGTATATTGAACCACTCATCACAGCAACTCAAAGTACCACCACTTCTCAAGGACTCACTAGGAACGCACTCTGCGCATAAAGCCCACACGCCGGCAAGACCATGCCAACATCACCCGCTGACTCCGTCATGATATAACCAACCCAGCAGTACATACCAATGTAGCTCAGTGGCAAAAGCTGCGGTGTTAAGTCGCCATAAGAAACACATCCTATTCCGCTTTGACGCACTATATCCTATCGTGCACCCCTATATATAGCACTCGTCTGAAGAATCCGAAGAGCTCACATATTGGTTTCTCGACGCATGCCGAAGTAAGACCCAATCTTGTACCGGTGGTTTGTCTGTCTTGAAAGCAAGGCCAAGTTTCGAACAAAGACTTTCGCATCGTTTCCAATTATGATAGGACCAGGGACTTACACGCAGCTCTCGCAGAGCAGGTGCAAGCACAGGATAGTTCTTCACTAGATGTTCCACGGAACGCTTACAAGTGTCACCGGAGAGGTACGGTGGAACAGTCAAATGCAACGTGTCCAATGAGGAGGGAAACATGTCCATGAAAGTAGTTGACATGTCTGAGTGGTTGCAGTGGACGGACATGATGGGACAGTACAGTTGTCGTAGAGATTGGAATGCGCCCAACCGTTGGAACCGGATAGCCAACGGAAGGGTGGTTTGGGAGAAATGAGTGGTCAGCTGAAGGCTTTCGAGGGAGAATCTTTGACAGTGCAGAATATCCGAGAGTTTCTTCGAGCCCAGCATTTGTTCGAGTTCATCATCATCCGCCACTAGGGGCGAGCAGAGGTCATAAGAAAATGTCGTCAGTCGCCGTGCTGATGCAATTACGACTGTCAACTTGTCCATGGAAACGAAACATTCTTTCTTCAGGTGTAGCTCCTCGATATTGCTACTTGCAGGAGGCATGATGCGCTCGAGGGCACCACTTCGCCGTTTTTCGGTGCACCGTCTTCGAACAGCCCCAGCGCAACGAATCGTCGAAGTGATGCCAGTTGGAATATAGGCCCGACCTGCAGCAAGGAAGAGTATGACATGTTCACCTCTATGGACCGCAGATGTGTAAAAGAGTGCAGTTGCCCTTGGCCTGTGCCCGTCGATCCTTTCTTGATAACTTCGACCCACTTGAGCATCTGATGTCTGCGTCGGTTGGTGTCCTCAGTGCTGATTGATACAATGTGGGGTACATGTAGCAGCATGATAGCGTACAGCGCTTCGAAGTCCGCATCTTCTGCATTGCAATTCGCAACTCATCCTTTCCAGTCTGGCAAGCCGAGTGCTCGGATGCCTTCTTTGACGATTTTCTTGTCTTGCGCGTTCGGTTTGTACTTTATTCGGTTACGACGGACCCACGAGCCATAGATGATATCGACACTGTGAACCAGCTCGGCCAGCGACGGGTTGGAAATGATGGTACGAAGGAAGAGATATGGCTCGCCGAAGCTATTGTGGTACCGCCTGAATATTTCTGGAGTAACAAGCCCATGCAATCGTCGGTTCGTCCTTGCCAAGTTTATCAAGGTACGGAGATGAGACTTGCGCAAATCCACAGGGGTTAGATATTTTATTATTTCGAGAATCAGCTCATCCGGCAAGTCGTACAGGGTAACAATCATGGCGGAAGATCTTGTTGGCAGCATTCGCTTAGCATGATCCGTAGTAAGAGCTGCGAAATTTCTTCTTGTGAATTGGGCGTGCTCCCGGGGGGGAAGTGGTGGAAAGTCATAATCGTTCAAAGCCATTCGGGAGCTTGTAATCAGTGGTCAAAGATTTTAAGAAGCCTCTAAAAGTGGACCTGTCTTTTGGATATGTCAGAAGAGTTGACAGACTGTAGATATCGTAGATTGCTACCGGCACCGGAGACGGAATCGTGCTACCCACCGTACCGACCTAGAATTGGTTTAACGTAACATCAGCCGTCCTCCGAATTTAGACCTTATGCCCATGTGATATTAATACAAAGGCAATGCATGTTGTACTGTCGGTTCAAATGTTCAACTGCCAAGAAGCCGATCCGCTGGCACGATTAGGGGTAGATTTCCCGGGGATCTGGCAGACTACCTACAACCTCATCCCTTGCTAAGGTGCCTAGCGTGCAGATATCTGATATCTGGCAGCTGAATGGCTCGACTGTTGAGTACTGTTCTGAAGCCTGTCATTCTCCTTTCTCCTTACCGAAGATTTACACGCTAGCTCCTTTTTTCTAGTCCTTGGATAGACATGAGCTGTACCTAGTCAGGCGTAGCTAATATACAGAGGAGTAATCCATACGGCAGGGCGGGGCACGTGATACGAAGCTTACTTAGATAGACATAAGCTGAATCTAGAGTCTGATACTCATTCTGACCCGGACGAATAACATTTGCCTACTGAGCCCTTTTTGTCCGGGGCAATCGTTGGGATAACGGTACTTTTCAATAGATCATGCCCAACCATCAACGTTCTAGATGCTCAGCAGTCAGCATTTCAAGTTTGTACATTATGGTAGGTACCTGCGCGCAGTGAGGAGCATGGGAGCCAGTGATGTTGGTGTTGCATTTCATCCCACTATGGTGGTATCTTGTAAAAAGCAATACCGGTAGTGATCTCAGTAAATTTAAAGGTGCCAAAACGAGGCTTAATAATATGTGTAAACGCATAGCCCTTTGGGGATTCGGTCTCAATGTAGGGTAGCAAGAACAAGGCTTCAGTAGAAGGTGCACAGTTGTCATAGGAGATGTGCATCACGGGAAGGCTGTAGATCGCGTCCGCGCGTACAGCTTACTGTGTAGGTAGTAGAAGCTTGCGATGCGAATGTGATGCGGATTGCGTTGCAGCTAGTACCTAAGGAATGCTCGGATTCGATGAGCGTGCGAATCCAATTTAGTCATAGTTTTCCGTTGCGGATAGGTAGTCTCAGCCACTTTATTTTACGACGAGACAAGAATTAAGTATCGCCGAAATACGCATTGCACACGTGGCCGATGACACAGTACGTTGCCAACGCACACGCCCACAGTAGAAGCAAGACTTTACCTAGCATGAGACCGCACGTAAATTCATAGATTCAGACTAAATCCATCCAACACAACCAAGACAAGAACTTCATACCTAACGTACCGGTACCATTGTGTGCAAGCTTGCGATACAAATCATGGCAAATCAAGCGGAAAAGCCACCCCTGAGCGAAACCCCTTTCCATGTCCTTCCTGCTCCATATCCGGGACCTATCGACGGCCATTCAACTTCAAGTCCCCCAAATCAATCAACCGCTGGCGGTGGAGTGCGGAAGCAGATTGAGAAGATGGTGAAGGCTGTCGAGCGCAGGATCGACAAACAGGTTCTTGCAGCACAGATTCGAGCTTATGACCTCTCTCCAATGCCTTCAACCAAGTCCAGTAACTTGTAGGAGGACGCGCTTGCGGACAATTACATAAAGGCCTCCTTTGATACTGGCTGAATCTGCCCAGTGGTACTATGGCTGTTGCAAAATCCAGACGGCAGCATGCATCTCTACAACTCAAGCATACAATTGGGCAACGCTTTCAACGTCCAACTACTGCTCGCACCTCAAAAAATCCCTACGATCGATGTATTAGTCCTGCGAATCGGAGTGCCTTTGACGTCCGGCGAAAATCGTCCATAGTCTGCCCTTGAGGAGAGTGTATTTGACTGCACAGAGGCCGTTCCTTTTACTGGCCGGCAATATCACAGCATTCGTTTGCTGTGACAAGGTGTTATTCGCGGAAATCTTGCTTTTCAAATACTATACTCTGTATTTGCCCAATAATCATTACCGTGTGGAATTGGAAGAAACAGGGCCTGAAAGTTTTCACAAACATTACCGGTACTCCGAGCGGTGCCCCGAAACTAGGTGGGGCCAGACTGCGACAGGTTACTTGAGACAACATTCAGCGGCTCGGAAGGAATATTTCGCAGGGGTGAACTCTAGTATAACTACCTAATGTTGTGGAGATGTTTCCCTTTCTCCGTATAAAGATGCGATAGAGGTGAATAATATCACGGTAGATGAGATTGTGTGCAACATGACTAGGAAGGGCAAAACGAAGAAAAGCATGGGTCCGCATCAAGAAGGGATTAACCGGTTACATTCCATACGTAGCTACCCACAATATATACATACAATGTTAATCAAAGCAATACTACTATTAATGCTAATGTATCATGTGATGTTACCGTGTACATACTGCAGAGCCTTGAAGTACTGGTAGGTAGACCGAGGCTATTGGGTTAGTAGCCCCACAAACCACCTAGCATATCACGGTCCTCTATATAGACCCACTAAATCTTATTAATTCTTCCCCACGTCAAGGGCTCTGTGAGTCTCGAGTGGAATCTGAAATGATGGAACTTGTTGCGTTGCTAAAAAAATTCAGAGATATAATTATTATAATTGTCTATCTCTTCCATCAATCGAGCACAACCAGTTCGAATATCCTCTCCTGCATCGGTGGTTTAGTGGTAAAATTAGCCGTTGCCATCGGCTAGCCCCGGGTTCGATTCCCGGCCGATGCAAGATCCTTTATTTTTGCGCGTTGAGGCGTTGTGGGGGTGCTGTGGGTGCTGGTAGTGGTGATTGTACACAGCGAAGCCCTGGTGGTGGAGAATTGAAAAAGGGGCCACACCACAACCCAATTTTTTTTATTACAAGTCAGAACCTAGCTCAGTTCAGTCAAGATGATAATGTAGTAGATCTAATTGTATATACAGAGAGATTAATTGTCAATTGTGCTTGCTATGGTAGTTGAGATTTTGTATCTTGTGGTCATCCACGAAACTGACAACGCTAGACCATGGGACAGTCCAGCATATTGCGTGATCCCGATTACCTTACCTACTCTACACAGTAGTATTAAGCCCAAGGCATTGATGAAAGTAGCATCTAGAGATTCTACACAACTTATTAAGAGGACAAACATCTCTCATAGAGAAACTAGGATGAACACATGGAGAGAACCGTATCTCCCAAAGTTGTTTACACGTCTTGATGCCTATTATCAAATGACTGTATTATTGCAACCTTAATACTCCAGCTGCCCTGAGGCAATTTTTTTCATTGAGTCCCTCGTACCATCATGTTGCTCAGCGCCAGGGAGCATCGCATCTTGCTCCAGCAAAGAGTGAGTACGCTAAGCTTGGATAGGCAGCGCTAGCGCCTCGCTCGCTTACCGCACCTCGAATTTCGACGTCCACTACGACGACATCGACTCCTCAACGCAGCCGCACCCAAGAAAGACCTATTCGCCGTCAATCTACAAATCGATCAAAATGGAGAACGAACGTGGAGAGCTCGTTGACCGTAAGTTTCTCTGATACTCGTCGCGTTCTTGCGAAATGCGCACGCCCACGAACCCTCACCAAATATTACGAATTGCCAACTGTGATTGCTAACACGTTTTGTAGTTTACGTCCCCCGCAAATGCGTGAGTGCTCGCACTATTCGCAGTTGAATTCTCGAACCGCAGTACTAATATCGCCTCAGTCGGCCACCGGACGCATCATCAAGGCCAAGGACCACGCCTCTGTCCAGCTCAGCGTTGGCAAGGTTGACGAGAACGGTCGCTACACCGGCGAGAACCAGGTCTACGCTCTCTGCGGTTTCGTCCGTGCCATGGGCGAGAGTGACGACAGCTTCAACAGGCTCACACAAAAGGACGGCTTCCTCAAGTCTGTCTGGAGCGCGTCCCGGTAAATGTTTGGGGTAATGGAGTTGAGGTACGGTGCACCTGTGGAAGAGTGGGCATCATCACGGATGGTTTAGCTGACAACCCCAGGATTTCGGGATCTGACCTGCCTCTTTACCGAGCAGGTATGCATTTCACGGCGGCTTAGCCTTCTATCGCCTTCTACGCGGACCAACGGTATCACGAGAAATGGCAGTCGATTGAGATACGAATACTATCAAATTCTCAAATGCATTTGAGACCCTACTCTAAATGTGTCGTGAAGAGTGACATGGATTTGGCGCTTGGGCTGATCAACCCTCCAGTTGGCCAGTCATCAATCATACTAAATCTGTAGCATATCTAAACAAGACAATTCCATCTACGAAACGGCGTTCCGATCCAGCCGAATGCACATGTTGCGCGTTGTCAATGCATCATTCCGAAACACCAAGGTCACATCGACATATTAATCTACACAACTTTTAGCTTCTGCTACGGAAGCACATAGGATGCATTGCTGCTACCAGGCGTCCTATAAGACTTTGCGAACTGCACATACACAATTCACGTGCGACATCGGAACCCGAACCATAGTTTATCGCCAGGAGCGGTTACACATCGTGTACGCTGTTCTACTTGGAGATTGTGGTTGATCTTCAATGCTACCTTAGCTAGTCGTACGGCAAGCTGCACCTAAAACACTGGTGAGGTTGTTTTGTACGCTAGCAGGCGTAGCCCAACGACAGGATCCATACATGAACTTACACGCATGGTGTTTGAGCTGGAGCTCGTCCCATCTGTCGGTTCCCGTGACCGATCCTGTTGTGAAACAAATGGCGAGGAACTCTTGGCTGTCCGCGTGCTTCAGACACATGTATTACATGACCATATCCATAGCCAGATGGGGCAATCACTCGATGGGAGAAGTCAAGAAGTGTGCACGACAGTCTGTATAGCTGTATACAGCGTCACCATAATCGTGACGCCGTTGCTAATCATCAACACACCGCACAGCTTACACTCCCATCTCTCCCAAGATTCCACATCATCCAGAAAAACCCAACACTCCCCATCCCACCGCCTACAATCCAGCATCCCACAACCCCTCCCCATCTATTCCCGCGCCCACACCGCTCGTCGTCCCACACCCCCGCGTCGCACAGCGCCATGCATGTACAACCTCCCTAGCAAGATCGCGAGGTATCGCGAGGACACGGGTCCGCGGCTCGTGGCTGGTAGGTACACGCCCAGCGGTTTCGCTGTAGACGTGGAGCGGGGTCTGGGGATGCGTGGTACGTCGATCACAGAGGTACCGATCAGAGAAAGAAGGGGGGGTTGTGTGTATGAGGGAAGGGGAGGGGGAGGGAGTGCAACGAGGGTTTGGATGAGGGTGGTGGGTGTGGGATGCTATGTAGATTGAGATTGGGATGGGATAGATAAGCGCTGTGTTCTGTAGGATCAGGGATACTGGTTGTATACATATAACTGGTATGTATGGATGGGATGTCATGATAGCGTGTATCGAATAATAAAGTAGAGAACAACACAGTAGAGTCTCGCTGGCGAGTGGTGATGCGTATTAGACATGTATATATGTACATACGTCACAGGCGCGACACATAAAGTCAGACACAGCATCACCGTACCGCACACTCCCTCGCTTCTCCAAACTCCATCGCTCACAAGCCAGAGACATGTGGTGAATGTGATGTGATGTAGTAAATGGCCACGACATCTACCGTACCCTGGCTACATACAGAACCAGCATACTCGAGGTTCGCCCGACTTGGGCTGAAAACCTGCGTTTCACAAATCTCCGTCTCCATGTCCGCCAACCCAGCTCAGCCCAGCTCAGCCCAGCCCAGGCGGGCCCGGAATAAAGTCGCATGTGTGCATCGGTACGTATTGTATATACATGTACATCTACTACACTCTGGTAGATTTTTATTCCCTCACCGTCTTAGACCTAGGTACATGTACACGCACACACACCACGCCCAGCGCAGCACAGCGCAGCGCTTCAACCACCAAAACCCCTCCTCGCAGGTACCGGTACAATGAAACGCTGTAGCTACACCACACCACAAAGAGCCCCAAGTCCTAATTCCCAAGTCCCGATTCCCAAACCAGCACCCCACAAACCCATCCCAATCCATCCCTTCCATCCCAATTCACACCCACCCACCCACCAACCTAACCATATAACCCCCACCCCAACCCATAAAACGTGGCCACCACCCCAGTTCCGCCCACCGCCTTCCCCAAGAAAAAGAAAGGAAAAAAAATCGCAATCCCATGAACCGGGGAAGCGGGAACGCGAGCGAAGAGACTATAAAACACCAAGGGGAGCGGAGGAAGGGGCTTGGCGGGCACAAAAGCGGTGTGCATTCCCATGCATGGACGTTTTTTTCTGCGGGCAGTTGCGGAGCCCAGTAGGTGGGCGCGTGGAAAAACAAGAGAGTAGAAATTAAAAAATATACTTTGAAAGAGGCGCGACAAGAAAAGAAAGTTTGGTCCGAGGGGAGGAGTATTACTCTACGGACATACTGGGCATGAAAAAGTATCGGAGGTGCTGTAGTTGGAAAAGTGCCGTGGGGATGTGGGGGCGCAAGAGGGGGGACAAGTCATGTAGATAAGCATTGCAAAGCAGGTGTAAAGGATGCAAATGGGGTAAAATGACTAGTACTTGGCCGGCTTGCCAAACGTGGAGCCCGTCGAGCCCTGTGTCGGCCCATGGGAAGACTTCTCAGTGCCGAATGCTGTACGACTACCACTTGCGGGCGAATCAGTCCTACCGGGCACTTGTACACGTACCCTCCTCCCATCGTTTCTAAGTCCCAATACCTCGCCTTCACTAGGCGAGTCGAACGTCTTGCCTCTTACCGCCTCCACCGCCCTGCTCTCCCCAACCTTCCAATCATCGCCCTTGCGCACCACCTTTGCCCTCTCCTTCTCCTCCTTTTTCCGTGCAAGCTCTGCCAGCCTAGACTCGCGGCGCTGGCCTGACACGCAGTCGCACAGGCAGCCTTCGGTAGGGCACGCGCCTTCTGCAAGTATCGAGTCGGCGAACCATGTGGAAAGACAGTTTGTGTGACCGCCGTGTCCACAGAGGGGGCACCATGTCCAGAGTGTGGCCGGTGGCGGTGACCAATTCGACGGGTGGACCGGCGAGTCTGTGGAGGTGAGGGCGACATCGGGAGCTTGGTGAGATAGGAAGGGTGACTGTTTGTGTGTCTGACTATTTCCTTCGTCGGTGTTAGAGCGTACCCTTGATCTGGACTTCTTCCTCTTCTTCTTCTTCCTGGTAAGAGCTTCAAAAGCCGGGTATTTGCTCCAGCAGATGGGACATGGCGCTTGCACTCTCCTGCAATTCTCGCAGCGCATTTTGTTCTTTGGATTGTTTATGGGTGCTTTGCAACTTAAACAGAGCAGACCAATCTGGGTATCTTTTAATGCTTGTTCGTAAACTGCTGGGTAAGTGGGATATGCTAATCGACGAAGTTCGGCAGCCGAGTTGAAGAGCGACAGGGTATGCAGTTGCGCATGGTAGGTACTCAGAATAGATTCTGCCTGATAGGGATTGATGCCCGTTGCGATGAGTTGACTCAGTCGGTTGGAGAGGATTGCCTTGGCTTGAGTTGGGGTTAGCCCGAGAGAAATGAATGTCTCGGTGAAGGCATGCAGGACCTCAGCCACATCGACTCCCGGCATATCGACCAAACTATGTGTCTGGGGCAGAAGCGGGGTTAGCAGTAGAAGAAGAAAAGAGGAGAATTGCGCATCTGCTGTTTTCGTATGGTAAGCCATGAGGTTCTCCAGCAATCCAATCACAGAGTACGCCGAGCCTTCTTCCGCGTCAATGTGCATGGCTTGATAATCTGACAAGGCGATCCCATCGTGATTGACTGGCTCAATCCATTGTGCGACAGATTCTCCCAAGGGTTGGGTGGAACTTGCTTCTTTGAGACCATGTGGTGACTTGTGACCATCGTGAACATCTGCAATGATGGTGCCGCTCGCGTCCATTTCAGTGCTATACTCAAAAGAAGATGTAGTCGTGCTTGCGTATGCTTCAGACTCTGAGCTGTCATGGCGAAGAAATTGATTGTTGTTGCGTCGTAGGTGCTCCATGTCTTCGACGGCTCGCTCGCTGCTACCAAATGGGAATAGATTTCCGCTTTCATCATGATCTCTAGCAGTCCGTTGAGGTCCTTGTCCATGTCCCTCTCTGCTTGAGCCGGTGTCGACAGGTATCGTGGTTGGAGACACTTGATAGCTCCGACCGAAGCCAGAGTGTTGATCGCGTGCTGAGCTAGGCGGTCTAGCCCTGCCAAAACTTGAACGAGGCTGCTGAATCTGCCAGCTATTCGGGGGAGACTGGATGCTGCGAGAGTGCGAATGACCGCTTGCGAGCGAGCTTGAGCTTGGCACAGAATTCCCCCTCTGGGATTCAGAAGAGGCAGAAAACATGGCAAAGCTCTCGCCAGAGTCATGCCGATCGAGTGTCGGCGGCCCACTGACGTGGGCATCTGGCCCGTTTCTCGAAGCAAAACTCAACGGTATACGCGGAGAGGCGCGATAACTGCCTACCAGGGCACGCCTTTCTTCTGCCAGATCAGCTGATTGATACCATTGTGGCCCGCTGAACTTGGAGTGTACGGGTATTTTGTTTGGATCCAGTACGCTCTTCTGTTCATCATGGGACTGCTGCGATGGTCCCGTCACAGCAGGTGGCAGCTGATCAATAGGTTCTTGATCGATATCGAGCAAATTGTGTCTATGAGATCCATCCAGTGTTGTACTATTATTACTACTACTACTATTGTCTTTGTCCGTCCGTGGGCGGGCGAGAGGGGTAGACAGGTTAGATGTGCTTTCCATCGCTGTTACTGGCGAAGACGATCGCGACTTCTCCAGTGTTCCGAGAATGGCACGCACGGCAGGATTTGGCGGAAGCGCGAGACGCTTGTCTTGCGCGTTTCCGTGGTCTGAGGAAGGCTTCTGCTCCCCGTTAGCTCCTCCCCCTGCTGCTTGTGGAGCGGATTTGCGCATCCTCCTGTGCTGGCGGCTGTGCAGCTCTGCACGACGTCTTGTTGCCACGCTGATGGATGCACCGACCACCCTCCACGACTGAGCCAGTCTATGCATGGCAGCCTTCTCTGCATACTGTGCATTCTGCTCAAAGACTCTGTCAACATGCATGAAAGCGTCCAGATCAGGAGGATCAGGAAGTGATAGGGCTTTGTACTTTTGGGCGAGATAGGCAAACACGTGCGCATGCACCACCCCTGGCAGTGGTCCGCGGAAGCCAACCTGGTCGGGCTTGTAGGAAGCACTGTGTGTGACCATGGAGCCGGTGAGGAACATGACTTTGGGAGCCGTGTCAGACGGCGGCGTGCTACCGAATGATTTGGAGGATCTGCTGGTTGTGCCGCGGGCCTGATGGCCTTTCATCGACGAGACAAGGAAGCTGTCATCTAGACTGTCGTCTGCCGAACTTCTCAGCCTTACTTTCTCCGGGCTGTCACGTCTGTGGTCACGTGGATCATCACTGTACGTGTCGTCGGCATAGGCTAGGCCTGCAGAAAGTCGCCTTCGGGGCCGCTTTTGTGCGACGCCTGCAACCTCCCCACTTGGCGACACAGCAAAAGCCTGCAAATTGCGTCGATCGACAGTCTTTGGTGCATGATGGATGCCATGCTGTTGAAAGACTCCCTCTCTGCCCACCGTCCAGAGAGTGTCACGCGAGTGCCACAGCATATCCGAGGGTGCCGTGGCAAACTTGTTGATCTCACGAAAAGGCAGAAAAGGACGGCGGAAGTCCCAGATGTGGATGACGGGGTGCTCTCGATCATACGAAGTGGCTAGCTGGGTGCACTGATACGCACCGTTTTCCTGCGTGTCGTCAGACCAGTACGGGGGCCTCCATTTGGCTCTGTAGACGGGATAGGGCGTGTGCAGCGTCCAGGCGGCCTTTTGTCGTCGACTGGTGATGGAAAAGTCCCAGACCTTGACGGTACGATCGACGCCGGCGCTGAGCAGATGCTTGCCGTCGGGATGCCAGTCGATGGAGGTGCACATGCGCTGGTCGTGGGCGGTGATTTTTTGCTTGGGCCCTTTGTTGTAGCGAAAGTCCCAGCGCTGAATGGTGCCGTTATCGGTACCAAAGGCAAACTCGACGGCATCGGTAGGAGACCATTGGACGTCGCGAACGCCGCCGTTGATACCCTGGTACTGGTCTCGGCTGCGACAAGTGGTGGCATCTCTACGCATGTCGCGCAAGTCCCACATGCGGACGGTGCCGTCGTGGCTTGCCGACAGCAGCAAGTGGCCCTGATGGGGGTTGAAGGCGAGCTTGTGCACCTGACGTGTATGCTCGTGCAATCTGGTCAGCTCGACGCTGGCACGATTCAAGTCGTACAGGATGACTTTTCCATTTGCGGCAGCCGTGGCAATATGCGAGGCGAACTGGCCGTGGGACCACTTGACATCGTGGATGCCCAAGCCCTCGCGCTGGCGGGCATGGGCATCGGTGTAATTGAGGACTGCAGCGCGAAGATTGACTTCGTCGACGATCTTGGCATCCTGTACGCGAACGGTCTTGAGGATTTCCTTGCCAGCGAGCACGGCATGGGTGCGTTGACGATTGCTGTCGAGGGCGGAGATGTCCAGACCCGTCTTGTGGCTTGCATCCTGCGAGTAGCCAGTGCGGATGCTGCCGTCATTTTACTCAGTGGGTGAGGTGAGGTGAGTGGTGGTACGAGGAAAGGCACAGTGGAGGAAGGGGAAAGACACGGTGAATGATGGGGGAAGGCACGGTGAAGGATTTGGGAAAGGCACAGTGATATTTGGGGAAGGGGGGCACGTCATGACAGAGCCCACATGGCAGGAGGTGGGCAGCAAGAAGGTGGGCAGCAGAAGGTGTGGCGGTAGCAGTGGCGGCGGTGGTGTGGCGGTGGTGTGGCAAGCAAGTGGCAAGCAAGTGGCGCAGCGGTGGCTCGGCGCGGCTCGGGCAGCTCGGGCGAGGAAAGAAGTACAGAGAGTACTAGAAGAGTAAAAGTGGAAAGACTCACCCGGGAAGCTTTGGGACTAGCGGATTCGGGAGGCCATCGGCGCGACAGGCAGGCTGGACGGTCGGGGGCCGGGAGCCGTAGGCAGTCAAGGGCTGGGCGACGAAACGCTCAAAGTACGAGCGCGGCTTCTGTTTTGGCGGCGGCAACGGGGGTGCAGGCGGTGGCGGAGGAAGGCCGCCGACAGCTGACGACGTGCGACGGTCCGTCATGTGGTTGTTGTGGGCGAGGCGATGGGGGGTTGGGTGTTGGTAGTGGTGGTGTTGGTGTTGGTGATGGTGGTGGTGAGCTTGGGCGTACCGGTAGTGCAGGTAGTACTCTAGAGTGAGTCGGTGGTAGTATTGGCAGTAGAGTACTACTAGTGGTGCAGCTGGTAGTGGTGTTGGTGGTGCTGGCAGCTACTGACTGGTGGTGGTGGTGGTTGTGGTTGTTGTGGTGGTGGTAATGGTGATGATGATGGTGGTGGTGGTGGTGGTGGTGGTGGTGGTGGTGTTGGGGCTGCTATCGCCCTTGCCCAGTCATGATGCTGGTGCAGCTGATGAGTGACGATGCAGCGCCTGAGCTGTCGTCTCCAGAGTCCAGTGAGAGAGGGGCTAAAGGGAAAAAGAAGGGATCATGGATGGCCAGACCAAGCGTGTCAGTGTCACCGACGGTGATTGGTAAGAGTGGGACCAGTAGGTAGACAGAACAGACAGTAGCAGTAGAAGTAGTAGTAGTAATAGTAGTAGTACCGGTAGTAGCAGTCACTACTAGTGTCAGTAGCAGTAGTAACAGTGGGCGGTCGAGTCGGTACGGTAGAGTAACTAACTAGGCATGTAGTATGTAGCTGTGGAGAGAGAGAGAGAGAGTAGTAGGTATGGTGCATCACGATACGTATGTAGCTAGTGGCCTGCCTATTCCTATCATGGCGAATACAGTTACCTAGTTAATCTACGTAGGATGTAGTAGAGTCATCACCATGTCGCCTCGCCAATCTTCGTCTGTCTTCCTCTTCTCACGGGGACAAGCACCATGTACTAGAGGTAGGTAGGTACCAGTACATTGAGTAAGGTAGATGACTCTACGAACCTACTCTGCCATCTACTCCCCTACATACACACACACGTGCGTGTGTGTGTGTGTGTGTGTGTGTGTGTGTGTGTGTGTGTGTGTATGTGTAGAGTAATGTGTGTGTGTGTGTGTGAGAGATGCAGGACCAGCTGCAGGAGAGGTACTCTACTCTACTGTAGTGCTGCATTGCATGGCTGCATGGCTGCACGGCTGTACGGCTGCAGGCTTGGTGGCGGTGGTTGTGGGTTGGGGGATCCCTCCGACCCCCCCTTCCCTTCTTTCCCCCGGTCTTTTGGCGGCGGGTCATGCAGCGCCGACGCAGGCCATGGGCGAGATGGGCGAGCCTAGATCCAAATCGAACTCGCGTCCCTGCGCAACCATGTGCGCCACCCACCCAGAGAGTTGTGGGAGCGTGTGAGTGTGTGGGAGTGTGAGTAAGAGAGTAAGAGAGTCAAGAGAGCGAGTGTCTGGCTTGGGTGGGCTGCTTCTTTGCCCATTGCCGCACACACGCACAAACACACATACACATAGAGTACACATAGAGTACACAGTACACACACGTCCTCCAGGTTGCCTACCTACCCTACCTTACCTACCTTGCCTGCTACTGTGCTACTAGCGTTTGCTCCACCTCCATCACTCGTCGCGGTGAAAGTGTGCTTCCCCGTCCGCAGTCTCCCACCCACCCGGCCATGTTACGCCTGTCCTCGCAGTAAACTTCTTCTTCTCCCCTTCTTTCTCTCCCCGACCTTCTCTTCCCCTCCTTCCCCCCCCCACCCCACCCCCCTCCTCTTCCTCACCCGCCTTCGCTCGCATTGCCGCATCTTGTTGGCTTGTTGTCTTCTCTACCACTGCTGGTGAGCCCTCGCATGCAGGTCTCACATATTGTGGAGAGAAGAAGCTATACGACGACGACAACCAACACCACCATCATCACCATCACCTCCAACACCACCACACCACCACGCCATCAGACTAGCGCCTATAATAACACAGTATACGG